CGACCCTGTACAGGGTTTCCGAGGGTGTAAATCTTTACGGGAGTAGAAAGCCTCATCTTTCTCCCGCGGAGCGGCTGGTAATTTCGAACCGCTGAACTTTTAGGTTCGTAGCCCAATTCGTAACCACTACGCTACCAGAGCTCCTTACAGAAGTATAGTACGGTCAAAATGCTATAACTTGGTTTTTTTAATTTATTGGCTTAAGATATTTACTTCCAAATATGGAAGATGGGTATTTAATATTATTACACATCTGCCTCTTTCTTTGGCCACACTTCCACTATCCTCAGTTTAACGATTTACGATGGAATTCTAAATGCTTTTCTTCCACCTTCAAAAATGTCCTCTTAGCTCTAGTTCTTTCTTGACTGAAAACATGAGGACAAGCAGATCCAGGTCTTTTCAGAATAAAACATATTCAAATAAATCATATCCTCTGTTCGCCCTGACCCTTCCCAAAATGAGCCTTTCTCAACACCCTCCTCTTTGCCAGGTCCAGTCTGACCAGTTGTTCTTTTGCTTCTTGCAGTTTAATCCAAAAATCTCCTTCCGCCAACATCCTGAGAGTGCCTTACACTATCAGTCTTTGGTTTATCTACTCTGGAATCTCATATCTTCTTTTTAACTAATTTACTCAGAATCTTTTGTTGAGCATAATCTTAAAATTTTCCTGTGAATCCAAGAGGAATCATTACTTTTTAACTGTGCCTGTTAAAAAATGAAGCAGTTAAAAGTATCCTGAAGAATGATACTCTCTTTGTGCTTAGAAATAATATGTTGAACTATTTTGCAATATACTATTTTTAATCTGGTAGCGTAGTGGTTACGAATCGGGCTGTGAACCTTAAGTTCAGCAGTTCGAAACTACCAGCCGCTCCGCGGGAGAAAGATGGGGCTTTCTACTCCCGTAAAGATTTACACCCTTGGAAACCCTGTACAGGGTCGCTATGGGTCGGAACCGACTCGATGGCACTTAACAACAACAAGAACAATTTTTAATCTAAAAAAAGAGAGAGAGAATGCAGCAATACTAACTTCTCACTCAACTGAGAGGCTGGTCATTGAGACTTTAATTGAAAAGCTTGTCCCCTCAGTTTTTTTTACAGCGTGGGAATGTTTTCTGGCATTCTAGTTTCTATTTATTTGCATTTTTCCCCCACCCTCCTTCAACTGAAGCACTTTTTATCTTGTCAAAATAACAAAAACAATCCTAAGTGGTTGATATTCATGATGATATATGTTAAAAAATCCTAAAAGTCTTTAACCATATATATTACAGAACTCTTTCAAGGAAGGAAATCCTCTATTTCAGTGATGCAAAATATATTCACCTTTCATTGTTAATATTCGTCTTCCTTCACTTCACCCAGTAGAATGTGTCTCTATTTAAGTTCTGTTCTATTTAAGGTCTTTGAATCTTATGTCTAATAATTTTAGCTATTATTCATACCTTATAAGACCTCTTTGTTTTATCTGTTTCTGGACTCTGGGTGTGACACTGCACTGGGAGCCACAAGTTTGGCGGTTCAAACCCATCAGCTGCTCCTAGGAAAACTTGTTCAGGGTTGCTCAGCCAGAATCAACTCTAGGGCATCTAACAACATTCCTTTATCTATCACTCTGTTCTGACAAATGATTTTTCTTTGATATCCCTGTGTGTGTTCATAGCCCCTTCCCTCCCAAACCCACCACATTGCAGCACTAATATTGAGTTAAAAAAACTGTATCTGAAGACTCTTGATTTTTCCATTAATACGTAAATAAAGCTTACATACCATATACACATGCTCCCAACAATCTCTAGGTGCCTTGGAAGACCATCCATTAAAATGAGTATTTGACCTGCTAATTTCACTGAGGTATCATAAAGCATCATTATCAGTATTTTCTCTAAGGCCATCTAGAATAGTGTCAACCAGTCCTGCTAGATTCCCAGTCCCTCTTACTGTCCTAAAGAGCAACAGGAGATTTGGGATGTTCAACTTCATCATGAGATACAGATGACGTTGTTCTCACAGCTAATCAGAGTGAGCCAAGAAATATGTTTTCCATTTTTTGTTGTTGTTAGGTGCCATGGAGTCAGTTCTGATTCCTAGGGACCCTATGTACTACCAAACAAAACACTCTGTGGTCTTGCCCTACCCCCACAATTGATGCTATGCTTGAGCCCACTAATGTGGCCATTGTGCCAATCCATACCATTGCTGTTCGTTCTCTTTTTCACTGACCGTCTACTTTGCCTCTCTGTCTCCATTTATGTGTAATTTCTCAGTTTACCATTTTCTTCCTTAATATAGCACATTTCCAGTACTGTGTGCTGTCTACAGACATCTGTCTAAACTTATAGAGGACAATAAAAACAATAAAAGTAATCTTGATTTCTTTTAAACTTCCAGAGTTGGAAAAGAGTAGTAACTCTATGAAAGAGCAAAATAGGTTTTGTCTTGGCTCTAGAAACTGTTGTTTATAAAGGTTTTCATGAGTCCCTGGATGGCACAAATTATTTTCTGAGATCTCACTGGATTATTATGTGAAAGGTTGATGGTTCAGATTCACCCAGAGTATCTCAGAATTAAGGCATGGGGATCTTGTAAAAATTTTTAAAATAAATATGAAATGTCCAGTAACTATAAAACTTTATCATTCTGATCTACTTTGGAAAGGTCACGGCAGTTCTAGTCTACACTCATTGGGTCACATGAGTTGGAATCAGCTTGATGGAAACTAACAACAACATAAAGACTTGCAGTCAATTATAGCTTTCTAAATTCAACCATCACCCCACAGAAGGAGGCCCCATGGTGCAGTAGGTGAGTTTTTGGACTTCTAGTCAAAGTCAATGGTTCAAGCTCACCAGCTGATGTAGTTAACATATACTCTGTGCTTTCAGATATTATGCAGAACAAGGCCCAACAACACATTTTATTTTGAGATAGTTTTGTTGGTAAAATTTTTCCTGCTTGTACTCTATTCCCTTTCCCCTCAAATTAGGGACCTGGTCTGAAGTCAAGAATACAGTTAAGTATCTGTCAACTGTCTCTTTGTGCAAGGCCAGCTCCTTGGCAATGAAGAGAGAAGGAATAAAATGGAGTGCCCTGATGCCAATTCCCGCTATGGAAAGCACAACCATCTAGAGCTTCAAGAATCAAAGTGCCCTCTGAGGTTGAAAACAGTACCCAAGAAGACTGTATTTATCATCTCAGTACTAACGTTTGTACCCACACCCTTGCTTTGTGACAGGTTTCCATACTATTGATAAATAATAATTGGTCCTCATCTCCTAAAGCCTTCCTGAATTTTCCCTTCTTGAGAAGGCAGTTGGTAGCAAAGATCTCCCAGCTCTTGCTCCTCTGAAATTGTGATGAAGGTGTCAGCTTTTGCTTACAGAACAATCCTATCTTGGAGTTTTTGTCTCACATCTGTGGTACGCAGAGACTCAGGTTTGTCCAGCATCATAGCTTAGGTTGATGAGGTTCCCTGATCCCATAAAGACTTATAATCTTGGATATTCTAAGCAGCAGTTCTACTCTGTAAATTTATTGTTGTTGTTAATTGTTCTCAAGCTGATTCCCACTCACAGCGACCCAGTAAAAGGTTTCTAAGGAATAGCTGGTAGGTTTGAACTGCTGTCTTTGTGGTTAGCATTCCAGTGTTTTTCCTACAGTGCTACACCATGACTCCCTCTCTGTTGTATGTATATGTATATAAAACAATGCCAGCAAATTCCAGAAGAAAGCGAAATCATCAAAAATAATGCTTCTGGGGCATGGGACTTGGCAGCAAGTAGAGAAACAAAGGGGCAACTCAGCTCAGTATGAGTCATAACAGATTTAGATTTTGATACACATATTTTGTTTTATATATATATATATATATATATATATCATTGGGCTACAAACCACAAGATTAGCAGTTCAAATCCACCTGCTGCTCCTTGGAAATCTTATACAGGGTAGCTATGAGTCAGAATCAACACAATGGCACTTAACAGCAATAACATTATGTATTATAAATAAATTTTGTTACATAATTTATATGTAAATTATTTAAAAATTGCATTTAAATTAAAGACAACTTTGACTCTGACATATCCACGCTCATTCCCAAACCCATGCCCACTCAATGACAAACAAAGTAGAAGTGTCCCAAAGTGTTTCCAAGTCTGTTATCTTAATGGAAGCAGCCTGCCCACACCTGTCTCCTGTGGAGTGGCTGGTGGGTTTGAATCACTGAACGTTTGGATACAAGCCGAGTACTTAACTGCTCTGCCATCACATGTAACAACACTATTTAAAAAATGGTTTTATAAATTAAATGTATGTATTTAGATAACGTGGAGGTTTTGTTTAACTGTGCTTTTAATTCACATAGATTTGTCAGTTTTTGTTCTGTGATTTGCTATATTTTACTCAATTCTGCACGGTAAGACCTACCTGGTTTCTATGTAGATGTAAGTCATTTTTCTTAACAGTACACACTTATATGTTATACATTTTGTTATTTACTGATTTCATTGTTACTGTTGATTTGGCTCTTACTCATCGTGACCAGGTATGAGTTCAAACAACTAGTGAGTTTGAACTGCTAACCATGTGATTCGCAGTCCAGTGCTGATGCTACAGCACCACGTCAGGAATCCATTTCTTGATCATTAGGTCATTCTTAGTATTGTGCTTTACATTTAGGAGATTAAATGATTTTCATCTAATATATTAATAAAATAGACATTCTTGTTGTTGTTGTTGTTAGGGGCCATTGAGTCAGTACCAACTCAGAGTAACCCTGTGCACAATAGAACGAAACATTGTCCGGTCCCGGGCCAACCTCATTATTGTTGCCATATTTGGGCCCATCGATGCTGTCACTTTGCCAATTCATCTCGCTGGGGTGGGGG